CTCCTTTTTAGGAGTGGACTTGACTGTATTGTTCATTCTACTAACGTGTATAGTGTGTCCCATGTGTTTAAATCGAGTGTTAACGTTCGCCGATTGAGGCTTTCCTTTCTTGTCTGGGTTTTGTACTGTGAAGTAAAATAAGGAGCAGCAGAGCAATATATAGATTAAGTGCTACTGATACATAGCCAAGGTACTTTATCCAATCTCAATAGCTTCTAGCACGACGATACTTGCTAACACTGTCACCATGGATACTTCAACGAGATGAAACGTGTAGATGATGAAAAGTACAGTGGTGCTCTCAGGTGATTCTGTGTGGTTCACTATCAGGGACAGCAAAATCTATGGGATGTCTTAGATTGACAATGAGCCTTTCACTCCACGATAAGCACAGTTTTCAGCACAAATCGTCCTAAAGTGACTAATGTTGAGTCTGACCACCACCCTCTTCCAATATGTAGTCCCATGTTACACACTTCCTCTGAGGGGATTCGCATTCATATGCATCATCTCTTGTGATAAGCTGATAAGTGAATTATCAGTGTATATCATGTGTAGTCCAATCCAGCAGCAATATCCAAGTCTTGTTGATTACGCTGATAAGGTGTCGAATTAGGCGCATCATGAGGCGAGGTAATTTCAGCAGTAAATTTGCTATGAATGAAAACCAAGATTTCGTCTGTATCCGTGAGGGTACTACATTTACCATACAGCTGCACGACATATCTTTTCAAAACCAGATAGTTTGTATGTTAAAGTGACGATTGGCCGTTTACACTGTCGTACAATACGTCAAGTAGATTTTTGACTCGTCCTCTCTGGAAAACAACGTTTTGTAGAGTATGATTATTTTTTTACAGTACACGGTACATTTTTCCAAAATCTTCTCTGTACGGTCAAGCCGGCAAAAATGAAACTTCTTTTCGATCTCTTCACTCAACATCTGACTTGTCTGTGTAGAGCCAAAACAACTCAAATGCAGGGAGACCGGGTGTAGTGGAACTGGTATAACACTTCGCTCTCATAAAAAGTATGTATTGCTGAGAGATATCAAGACCTATGTTACCATAATTTAATATATTGTCCCTATTAATCCTCTACATCTCATCCTCGATCAAACTAAATTATCTAAAACCAACAAAAAATACTCACATTATAACGATGTGTGTAGTGTGTGTGTTAAAAAAACGAATAATAGAAAACCCCCCCCCACTAATATCCGGGTATACTTTTCTCTCTAGTTAATCTTAAATCTCAGACCTATTTTAATAATCTAATACATTACAACGATATAAGCACACAAAATTTCAATAATACCCCCCAATCCCCCCTGAGCCAACACGAAATGCATCACTTAGTCGACACTTGTGCTTCTTTTCCACGCAACTAAAATATTTGTTTATAATATCAGCAGCAGTCTTAGATAACTCATCATTCTTACCCAGTACAGTATTACTCCCTCATTTAAATCACATGTTTTACTAGTTACTTGGTGACCAACTGAGGGTTGTTACACGTGAGCCTTAAAACAATAGACCGAAGTATTTTATATCGACATTCCTCTGATAGTAGATCAGATTTTAACAACTTAAAACAAGCGTCTGTAAACTGTTGTGTAGAGAAATGTTCGTGTAATAAATACCATGCTGTCAGCAGATATTTTGATACAACCACAGGTCTCCTCCAAACACTTACCTTATCTGCACAATTGTTTAATAAGCAGTAAGTAGTACAGGTATTTATTATACCTGTTCACTGATAACACTAGCTATCTGTCATTGATATCAACACTACTTGTCATGTTCGTTAACATCCCCAACACGTTACACACTATGTCATTATCTTCTCGCTCAAGGTCTCGATCAGTGATGGTTATTAACAAGGATAACACCGTGTTTTAGCCAGGTAGAGGCGGGTTAGTGTTTGTTACGATATGCTTACTCTTAAAGTTGCAGTGATATTGTACAATAACCTCTTATCGTGAATTGTGTTTACACTCTGTAATTAAGAGATTAAACGATGCCTTTCCTGACCAGTAATCGTTTATCTTTATTATTCCCTCGTACCGCTACTCTCCTGATGATGTAGGTAAGGTCCCTCCGACACTGTAGTTCAGTGTTATCCTCATACAACTCACAGAACTTGTCCATAAAGTTTATTGTTACTAGTTCACTGATAACTTGTTTTTTTACATCTTCCTCACTTGCAGGTATTTCTTTCATATTGTAGTAACTTGCTTATCTCTTGTGAGGGTAAAATTGTTTATAGGTACAAGTATTTCTAACAGTTCTGAGCTCTTTACGGTGGTTAAGATATTTATGATGGAGTATCGTTTCTAGCACGATTACTTACTTCTTCTTGTACTATAGATTTAATAATGTCTCTGACAAATATCCGAGCTGCTTCTTAAATACAACTAATTTTTCCTGCATGTCTTTCCCCACAGTCTTTGGGAATCAGGTGTCCATGAGAAACAATACTACTTCATGTAGTGCAACGTCTCAACATATCATCATTATTCCCCCCACTTAACAAATAATTTCTTTTTCTTGCTGCACACCATCTTTTACAAGACTTGGTAGCTTGTACCATGTTATCTTTACATGATATGTCACTGAGAACTGTTACCATGTTCTAGTATTGTGTAGGAGAAGTCGTCTGATTCTGTTACAGTTTTCCAGTATTCAACTGGTGAGATTCTACTATCCACTATAGATTTGTCGTCTGGTTGTGTCCCCTTGCAAATTGGTGCTTTCTGAGGAGCAACCTTCCACAATTCCATCATTACTTCGCCACTTAACAAGTAATTTCTTTTATCTTGTTGTACAAAACCATCATTTACAAGACTTGGTAGTATGTACCATGTTATCTTTCGCATGATATGTCTATGAGAAATGTTTACCTTGTTCAGTATTGTGGTATGAGTCTTTGATTCATGTACAGTTTTCAGTATGAACTGGGAGATTTACTATTCCTCTATAGATTGTCGATTCTTGTTGATGTCCCATCAGTGCATATTGTTGCTTCATGTTAGGTAACGTCTTCACAATATTATCATTACTCTCCACTTAAAAGTAATTTTTATCTTGTTGTACATACCATCTTTTACAAGACTTGGTAGATGTACCATGTTATCTTCATATGATATGTCACTGAAAACTGTTACCATGTTCAGTATTGTGTATGAGTCGTCTGATTCTGTACAGTTTTCCAGTATGAACTGGGTGATTTATATCCACTATAGATTGTCGATTTGTTGTGTCCCACCAGTGCATATTGTTGCTTCACGAGAGCAACCTTCCCCAAAATATCATCAGTACTTCTCCACTTAACAAGTAATTCTTTTATCATGCTGTACAACCTTCTTTTACCAAGACTTGGCAGATGTACAAGTAATCTTTAATGATATGTCTCTGAGAAACGTTACCATGTTCATATTCGTGTTCAGAGTTCGTCAAGATTCTCTACGTTTCCAGTATGAAAATGGGAGATTTCTACTATCCACTCTAGATTGTCGATCTTGTTGCGTCCCATCAGTGAATTGTGCTATCATGCGGAGCTACCTCTCCACAATAACATCCATACTTCTCCTCTTAACAAGTTATCTTTTATCTTGCTGTACAACCCATCTTTTACAAGACTTGGTAGATTGTTACCATGTTATCTTTACGTGATATGTCTCTGAGAACTGTTACCATGTTCAGTATTGTGTATGAGGTCGTCGTCTGATTCTGTAAAGTTTTCCAGTATGAACTGGGAGATTCTACTATCCACTATAGATTGTCGATCTTGGTTTGCGTCCATCAGAGCATTTTCCATAACAAGTAACTAATCAACGAGTCACCAGAATTGTGTTCTCTATTGATTGATTAAACTTTGTGTTTTTTTGACCTTGTGTAAATTATACTATTTTGTTTATAAGTTTATATTTCCTACAGCTGTACAGTGTACGTACTTCATATTGAGTCATTATTAGCTTTGATTTTAAGTCTTAATCAAGGGGCCATCTACTTAGGAGTTAGGACGTCCGGCAAATAGGGAGGGGGTGGTTTTGGAATTACGGACAAATCTGGACTGGGGGAGGGGGTGGTTTCTGAAAATCTGGACGTCCGGAAATTTTGGCATAATTAACAAAACTGTCCCATTTATTTCAACTCTTTGAATTTTATTTCAACTCTTTGAATTTTATTAACAATGAATTCGAGTTGATTTTATTTGTACTCTTAAATTTAAAAGTAGCTTGAAATCCGGACGTCCGGAGGAGGGGGTGGTTTTGAAAATTCGGACACACCCGGACAGGGAGAGGGGGGTGGTCTGAAAATCTGCGATTTTGGCGGACGTCCAAAGTAAATGGCCCCTAACGGGTACACGCTACGTGTTTAAATCCATACGATCAACGATGTGACCAGCATTTCCGGCCTATATTTTATACCATTAGGTATATGATTTTTATCTGATAATTAACTTAGGTGTTCCGACACGGTAAGGGCACGAATTCTCTGGGTAGAACGAAGGTTATAATATAACTGATCTAATATAATTTATATTAAATCAGTAAAAAAAGTCATCAAGAATGTTCTCCGTTTAAAAACCATGAGCAATGAATGGATCAGAACAAACCGTAAAATAAGTACGAACCCCGAGTTTAAACTGGTCAAAAGTGAGCACTTTCTGGTAAACTCGCTCAAGAGCTAATTGTTCCCATATTATCTTATCTCTGTTAAATTTCATCTGTTGTCACTCAAGCCCAGAGAATTAAAATATTAAATATCAGCTGATAACAAATTCTCGCAGTAAAATGGATGCTTATTGGTACCCTATTATGCATCTAATTTCGATTTTCTTTTTATAGCGAAAATGTTGGCCTTGTATCTGCTTGTTTGTTGATCTGGCGGCTTGTGGGTTTAAAATGAAATGGTTTATGAACCTGACCCTATTCCTGCTCTTGATTTGTAACATTTACATATTTTACGATATAATAAAAGGTCTCCAACTCCAAGCGGCTGAGATGTACTGGTACCTATCATCAATGGTACGGTCGGACGTCACAGAGGAATCACGTGATTCAATAGGAGCTAAATGTGGTGGAATTGTTGTGATGTTCTTATTACCGTTTCTGTTTGGGCTAGCTCCAATCAAAGCAGCGAAACTAAAAAACGCAGCTAGATATACGAATATTGCAAGTTGTTTCGGAGGGGGTGTTTTCTTCGGAACCTGCTTCATGCACTTGATACCTGAGGTAATTGTAAGGGTAATGAGGGTTTTGAATTTCCTTTATCATGATCAATGATATACGTACATCGCAACTATTGGACAACTGGCAGCTTGGTAATATATAAATCAACCATTAACAAAATAAATTTCACCATATATACCACCATACGTAAAAATTCGAGCTAAAAATAGTTTCCCTTTCCAGGTAGCAATAGAGATAAACATATGGCGGGACACCAGCGACAACAAGTTTCTGAAATCTCTACCAATAGCAGAGATATTGGAATGTGTTGGTTTTGTAGCCATACTTCTGGTGGAGAGCATTGCTCATGGGATGCATCCTAAAGTGCAGCCTGCTCCGGAGGTAACACTGTCAGATTACAGCTACTTAGTTACTAAATCAGTTATAGTCACTAAGTTACTACATTAGTTATAGTCACTTAGTTACTAAATCAGTTATAGTCACTTAGTTACTAAATTAGTTATAGTCAATAAGTTACTACATTAGTTATAGTCACTTAGTTACTAAATTACCTTACAAGACATATTTATGGCGGCCTAATTTGCGACGACCGAAATTTTGGCGGTCCGAAAATATGGCGAAATTGAACAAAAACCGTCAAATTTCGGACGTCACAGAAAATAAGGGTATTTTTCATCATTTTTTGTGACAGTAAGCAGTAAGGAAATTTCTGAAATTCGGTAAAATCATGTTCAAACTTAGTCTGTATTAAGACTGTAAGACTTTCATGTTAGCACATACATGTATTTTAATGCAAATTTAAACTGTATTGCTTGACATTCAATTCGTCATTGGTGTGGTGATAATTTGTCCCAAGATGCCAGAATTTATTTATTTATTTTACTTGATATTACTTTTTAGAAACAAAATAAAGCAGTGAAGGCACAGTCATTGAAATAAGCTAAAAGATAATGCGACGGATTCTATTACGACGACCGAAATTTTGGCGGTCCGAAAATATGGCGAAATTTTCGGAAAACCGCCACATTTCGTACGTTATAAATATGTCTTGTAAGGTAGTTATAGTCACTTAGTTACTAAATTAATTATAGTCACTTAGTTACTTAATCAGTTATAGTCACTTAGTTACTAAATCATTTATAGTCACTTAATTACTAAATTAGTTATAGTCACTTAGTTACTAAATTAGTTATAGTCACTTAGTAACTAAATTAGTTATAGTCACTTAGTTACTAAATTATTTATAGTCACTTAGTTACTAAATCAGTTATAGTCACTTAGTTACTAAATCATTTATAGTCACTTAGTTACTAAATCATTTATAGTCACTTAATTACTAAATCAGTTATAGTTACTTAGTTACTAAATCAGTTCAACTTATTTACTAAATTGCGCACATGCCCCAAGTGGCCGACTTAAGTCTTGTGAAATAAGAAAATGTCATATTCGACTAAATAGCCTGCATCAGGGTGGTCAACTCCAGATAAAGGGGCTACAGATAATAACTCTGGACGTTTCTTATTTGAAACTGCTAATATTTAATCCATACCCAGAGATCGTATCAATCATTACATTATACACCATTTAAGTAACTGTCAGCTAATTTGAAATTTCTCGTCTTCAGAAAGACTCTGGAAGAGTAGAAGAAGTATCACCAAAAGCAAATGGTCAGTCCCATTCACATGGCAAAACTTGATCGTATGTAATTGTAATGATAAGACTGATGTTTCAAATTGTCATCCGTAACGCCCCCCCCCCCCTCCTCTAGTGCACACATTGTCCACTCCTATAGTGTCTGTGTACCACTAACACGCTAGAGGAGAACCTGTTTTATTTAACAATTATGTATAACCTTTTATACTTTTCAGATACTGCTGAAGCAAATGTAGAATTAGAACAGCCTAAATTAGCGTTGAAAGAAACGTTGGAGCAGCCCAAGGTACCGTGCAGTTCAATTATTCGAGAACATTTGTAACTTTTGGACACACCCATTTTACAATTTTGTCTTGTTTGAACTCTCAAACATGCGCTAAATTCAGACGTATAGACTACTTCGCTAATTTTTTGAAATGAAAGCGTATTTTTTCAGAAGCAAAAAGTAGGAGTACTGATATTTGCTTTAGCGGTGCATTCTGTGTTTGAAGGACTTGCAATTGGTGTGGAATCCAAGACTTCGGTCTTTCTTCAACTTGCTGGAGCAATACTAATACACAAATGCGTGGTGGCGTTTGCTGTGGGAACAAAGCTGTTAGATGCTGGATTGAAGTTGAAGTGAGTTTTACACAAAAAAGGTGTCATTGAAATCCCTTTAATCAGCAAAATGATTTTATGAGTTGTAAATTATGAATGAAAATATTACAAAGGTTGTGTTATTTAATATCTCTGGTCGATGATATCATCAATGCGACTCGGCCCCACTACACAAACGAAGGTGGATGGATCTATCCTAATGAATTTGATCACAAAAATATCATCCAATCTTTACTGACACCAGATATTTCTCAGGGGGATAATGATAAGCTTGTCTATATTTTGTGTAGCTACCCCTATAGGCATTGCTCTTGCCATTGGACTGTTGGAGCTTCTTGCTGTGACCTCGGGTTCCCGGACTACTATTTCTCTTGTGTCAGGTTCGTTGATATGTTGGTTTGTTGATACTTGATATGTTGATATGTTGATATGTTGGTATGTTGGTATGTTGATACTTGATATGTTGATATGTTGATATGTTGATATGTTGGTATGTTGGTATGTTGGTATGTTGATACTTGATATGTTGGTTGTTGGTTTGTTGATACTTGATATGTTCATATGTTCATATGTTCATATGTTGGTTTGTTTGCTTTCGGAAATGGTGTCACATCATGTTAGTTGATATGTAAGAATTTATAATTCGCGTTGTTTCAATTGATAGGACTGTAATGGTGACCTGTTACTGGCAACGTTGAACGATTACGTTTGGTACAAGGTTAAAATTGGGCCGTAGTTTGGGTCACTGCAATATTAGAATTAAACAAGTATTTTTGATTCAAATCTTTTTGGATAAATTGAACATGAATTACTAAGAATTTATCCGCTACAGGTTTGATACAGGGTCTGAGTACAGGTTTCTTCCTTTATATCACATTTGTTGAGATGATCTGCGATGAGATCAGGGATGGCAAAGATATGATGCTGAAGGTACGATCCTCAACCACCTTTCTCAAGCACCTATCGCACATTTTACTTGTCTTAATTTTTCACGATTTTAACAAAGCAGGATGTTTTTCGTAACGAAATTGAAAGTATAACAACGAGTTTATTCAAAATCTATTTTCAGACACTGTTTTTATCGCTCGGTTTGCTGATAATTGGTATCTCAACCGTGGTACACAACTACAGTGATCAACTCGCACTTGCTGATTGAACCTTTCTACAGTTCCTACCTCATCTCATCCTTCCCTCACACCTCGTCCTATCTGACATTAACCTACACTATAACACTCTTACACTACACTACCTCACCATCAAGGTGCACTTTACTCTCAACCTGCTGCCTCTTCACACCTCTGGCCATTAATACCTAGCCTCTAATGGCTGATCTACCTAGAAAGCACCAGACTTAAGAAGTTGTTAAATCGGACCAGAAGTAGGACCACCAGAGCAGATAACGATATTTCACCCTCTTATCCTCATTAGACTTTGTCATTGAAAATAACCCAATCTTGATGTGAAACGACTCCTGCGATTTAATTAATTGTGATTTATCGGAGGGTACACTTTCAATGATACTAATAACTAGAGGTTTCGATGCAAAATTAGAGGAGTTTTTCCAATTACAAATTACAGTAAAACCCCGATTTACCGCAGCCATTCCCTTTCCACCAAATAGGGCTTAACATACACATAGTGTATTTGTAAACAATCGAAAAACCGATTTAACGCAAACTCCGACTTACCGCAAATCCCGATTTACCGCAAACCCCGATTTACCGCGCGGCCTTTTCCTTTCTCTCAAACTGCACGATAAATTGAGGTATTACTGTATCGAAAATATGCTTTCAAATTGATCTGCGTATAGAGATTTATTTATTGTTAATTAAATCCCTCCTTGCACTCGTGCTACTTTTAATTTTTATCGTTACATTATTATTTAGTTTAGCTTTAGTGGCAGAAATATTTATTGAACTGATTTTCTGATTTTATTAGTAATAACCTCAAATAAACTTAGTATAACTGTATTAATTTAATGGGCTTAAACGTATAGATGCAAATTCTGGTGAGGAGTTGAGCTGAGGCATATGTTTTGACACGTGACATTAATGATAAATCAATCAGCTTTCAATATTGACTAATAAACCCCAGAATCACGACTGTCACGTGTCAAAAAAAAGTATGCTTCACCTCCCAACCAGAAACCACAAAAAATGACTGTAGTCTTTTTACTTTTAATGGGATTCATTGATTTGTATGATGGTGCTGACTGGTCGAATTCCTTGCGCAATTTTTCGAATTAATCGACAAATGTCATATTTGAAAATGTCGACCTTATAATTCCTTGTTTTACTTTAAAGTTTTAATATTCCGGTTAATTAGTAATTAGCTAGAGCAAATAGTGATATATTTGAGATTGCAGAAGTGGAGGGTGCCGTCATCGGGTGGTATTTTAGCAAGAGAACGTGACCCGAATTGACGGGCTTGACCCAAAGGCCGGATGTCATTATTTGAGTAAAGCGAGTTGTTCAATAAATTGTCTTTTTGTACATTGTATGTCGAGTAAAGTTTCTGTTGTCCCACATATGTACATTGCATGAAATGCATCTTACCCACCACTTAAAGACCAACTGCAATACTTTCATTTTGCCATACTTAATCTTATATTTACATAACTTATCAGAATGTACGAGCCCTTCTATTGAAAATCTTAGTGGAACACAGCAAGAAAATTGAGGACAATCTTGTGCGAGGGTAGGGACCAAGATATCGTTTCTAACCCAAATTATCTTTAATGCTTCTCATCAGTAGCCACACCTCTTACTCGGTTTCTGAACTGGAATTCTGTTGGCTTCCAGCTGGCCAGACCGAGTATTACCATTTCATCCTTCTAGATAGTTCATCATTATAAATTAAGCAGAAATGTTTATAAATATATGTATACAAGTATACACAGTGGGTCCGGGACTCTAGGGCGTAAGACTCTAGGGCGTGAGACTTTAGGGCGGCGCCCTAACCCTAACCATCACCCTAACCCTAACCCTAACCCTTATCCTAACCCTAACCCTAACCCTAACCCGAACCCAAACCCTAACCCTAACCCTAACCCTAACCCTAACCCTAAGACCCTAGAGTCTCACGCCCTAGAGTCTTACGCCCTAGAGTCCGGACCCCGTAATGTACATACATATGTGATATGACTAATTATAATAACAATAGGTACTGAATAGTGAACTACTGAATAGAGAACCACTGAATGGAGAACTTCTGAATAGTGAACTACTGAATAGAGAACTACTGAATAGTGAACTACTGAATAGAGAACTTCTGAATAGTGAACTACTGAATAGAGAACTACTGAATAGTGAACTATTGAATAGTGAACTACTGAATAGTGAACTACTGAATAGAGAACTACTGATAGAGAATTACTGAATAGTGAACTACTGAATAGAGAACTACTGAATAGTGAACTACTGAATAGAGAACTACTGAATAGTGAACTACTGATAGAGAACTACTGAATAGTGAACTACTGAATAGAGAACTACTGAATAGTGAACTACTGAATAGTGAACTACTGAATAGTGAACTACTGAATAGTGAACTACTGAATAGTGAACTACTGAATAGTGAACTACTGAATAGTGAACTACTGAATAGTGAACTACTGAATAGTGAACTACTGAATAGTGAACTACTGAATAGAGAACTACTGAATAGTGAACTACTGAATAGTGAACTACTGAATAGTGAACTACTGATAGAGAACTACTGAATAGTGAACTACTGAATAGTGAACTACTGGATAGTGAACTACTGAATAGTGAACTACCGAATAGAGACTTACTGAATAGTGAACTACTGAATAGTGAACTACTGAATAGTGAACTACTGAATAGAGAACTACTGAATAGTGAACTACTGAATAGTGAACTACTGAATAGTGAACTACTGAATAGAGAACTACTGAATAGTGAACTACTGAATAGTGAACTACTGAATAGTGAACTACTGAATAGTGAACTACTGAATAGAGATCTACTGAATAGTGAACTACTGAATAGTGAACTACTGGTTAGCTAAATCCAATTTGTTTATCGAGATTCAAGCAATGCTGATATATCTTATTAGTGCATGATAAGTAAAACAGTGAAAGGTTAAAGTATGTTAGTTGTATTTTAATGCATGCATTGTACAATGCCAAGTGGCCAGATGTCATTTGTCAAATAACCTATCAGGTATTTTGAGCAAACTGTAATTTCAGCACTTTAATTTTTAAAGGCATATAACTCAAATTTATAAAACTTTTTTTTAAATGTCGAGCTGCGATACCTGCCAAGTTTCAAAGAGTTTTCATAAAAATTGTAGGAGAAATCTTGGAATGAAGTTGACGAAATTCAATCTACTCATGATTTACATTTTTACTGTTCCAATCCATTTTTGTTTATTTTGTATAATTGGTAACGATAACTTTATTTTTCATTAAGTTTTTATTCAGGGTGGAAATTTTTACAATTTTATTGCTACACGAACCAACAATTCTTACCAGTTTCTTTTTAAGTCTAATCATTTGTTTTTTACAAAGATATCAATATATTGTATAACATGACAATAAAATATTTCATTTAAAACAAGATGGATTTTAAAAATCACAAGACTACCATAGTGCATGATACACATTTTTAAAACGGATAAAAAATAATTTTAAAACCATTTCGGCCATGTTTCTAGTTCTCTTATCTCTCTCAGCCTAAAGAAAATTATCCATAATTTAATTAAACTCAAGTCATTTGAGTTATGAACCACTCAGTTTAAGTCCCGTTAATAAAGTTTAAAGGTAAGATTAAACCATATCTGCGTTGTCAACCAGAATGACCTCTCTGCGCTGTCTTCCATATCCAGGTCGCGTGAATCCAGCTGTCATTTTCATATAAGGGTACGGTGTCAGGTTCTGCTTTGCTAGAGCTGTCTTCAGAAGCTCGAACTGCTTGAGATGTTCTGGATCGTGTCTGTCCCCGCCGTAGGCCCGTATGTAGATTGTAGCGTCGTCCCACTGCTCCACTCTTAGCTGCTCGTCTGTCGAGGCTGGAGGGTTGCTCTGGACGTCTGCAGGAATGTAGAAGCTCATTGTAGCTGCTAGGGTATTACCGTCTTCATCCATCCACCATTTCTTGACGACAGGAACCGCCATATCCATCTCAAGGCCACGGTCGTTCATTGCTCCGCTCCTGTAGCCATGAAGACGGAAGTAGGCCTCCCGATATCCGTTAGGTGATTTCAGGTCAATGTCAGTAACGGTCCAGTTGGCACGCAGAATGATTCTCTCCTCAAATCCGCATCCTGATGACTCGACTTTCTGGAACATCGGGCACTCGTAGGGTCCGCAGATCTCTTCAAGGGGTTTTGGTTTAGGATTTTTTCGGAAATTTCCCTGATCGTCAGGGTTATTTCCAAGATCGTTCGGAGAGCTTCCGTCAGAGTCTTGAGCGTCAGAGTTCATCAGAAACTCGTTGTATCCGGGGTCATTTGAGAATTCCTGGCATTCCTGGTAGCCCTCAGCTTCTTTCCAAGAGTAGTTGTCTTCCTCAATCGTCTGGTACGAATGTTTCGAGTGTGCCCCGGCCCCACCAAGATTGAGAAGTGCGACAGTCAGCAACCCTAGGACTGCGTAGACTCTTGGCATAGCTACAAATATGAAGGTAAAATGAGTAAGGTTCAAACAATTTGAGGAATGTATCACTCAATGTACGTGAAAGTTGAATATTATGTTTCATTTCAAATTTAACTGATCGATACATTAAAATGGAAACAGAGGGACAGAGGGACAGAGGGACAGAGGGACAGAGGGACAGAGGGACAGAGGGACAGAGGGACAGAGGGACAGAGGGACAGAGGGACAGAGGGACAGAGGGACAGAGGGACAGAGGGACAGAGGGACAGAGGGACAGAGGGACAGAGGGACAGAGGGACAGAGGGACAGAGGGACAGAGGGACAGAGGGACAGAGGGACAGAGGGACAGACGGACAGAGGGACAGAGGGACAGAGGGACAGACGGACAGAGGGACAGAGGGAGTGATACAAACAAGTCGAATTGCATAAAACTCTATACTGCACTTACTACCGTTTGATCGATGTATTTCAAGACAAGATAATTAATCATATTCGTTACTGGGGACGCGTTAAAAAACTTGAAAGCAAAAGGTACTAATGGAAGAAACGGAAAATGGGACCAGCTTGCAGTTGGTTATCGAATCAAATTCAGTTTAGAACCAATCGTGTGTTTTTTCTCTGGTATCTAAACTGTTAATTAATCGTGTCGGCAGGAGGGTGTATTAGAATCTGTTCAGACTCAAGATTGTGATAAGTTCTTTTACAATTATATTTGTACCCCATCTAATGTGATTATTTATGATTTTTATCAGAATCCAACAGGAAGCTTACAACACTGAACGCATGAGTGTTTGCCAATGTCCATCCAAAAATATGATGGCAAATTATGCCGATCACTTTTTATCTTTTTATTGTTGACTCTGTTCTCTAATTACGTTAATTAATAACATTACCTTTAGCTGATAACCGCTGCAGACAAATTATCATGCTCCTGGACTAAAATTTACCACATATGATTTGAGTTAAATGATATTTCAATAAATTTTCGTTAGGTTTTTATCGAATTTACCAAATTTATAAGTAAAATTAGAGCACCCTTTTAATTTAACATTAGGAATGACCAAAAGGGATGATGTACCGCCAGAAGCTGAGTAAAATTAAATGTGGACGATGTCAACTTGTCATCCCACTCCGTCTGTGGAGAGAACATACCCTCCAACATGGATCTCTGAGGATTTTAAAGGTAGATAAATACCGACCATCCTTTCTTGAACTAACCAAACACTGTTGCAGGTATTTCTTCTTTTTACATCGCTCCGCGCTCTTGTTCCAGTATACAATCAACCTTCGAGTGAGAGAGAAATTTCAGAAAAAGTGAAACACTTTAGTATCACATTTAGGGTACAAAACTATCAATTAAACCACTTACCAACGGCCGATTAAAAAACTTAAGCTTTTTGGCATCGTCAAAGTTTTGTCGGAAATATACCGAAAAAACCAGTCCCATGGCCATACTTTTTAGTTTTACCATTTTCTTGATTAAGCCGTTCGTAAATTACACACTTTTTGGGGTTATTAATATAGATTTACAGCAAGATTTGGTCACCCTCCAAATCCAATATAATTGTGCAGGGTTTAGGGTATTCGTACTAACCGTGCGGCTACTGAAACTTATTTAATATCATATTACCAATTCGGTTCTCTGGAAGTGGCCGGAAATAAAACATTGTTTGAGAGGTAACACCTCCATGTATGTAGAAGGTTTTCAACCTGCAGGAAATTAAATAATTGTTGTTAATGTTCCCGAACACAAACGAGAAATTAATTACTTTTTTTGAAAAGAACGCGTCCTTATCATTTATTCTCTTCTCTTTGGCATATGATTTACAAACTTCGTTGCTTCATTTTTATGATTTTTGTTTGTCGGCACTCTTTAAGATGGTCATTGGAACTTCGACTAATACTATTACTAGAAGTAGTATCTGTCTGTTTACTTTTCTTCAGTTTATTAAAAGTACGTACTTGTACGATATTTTGAAAAATACGTACTGTACGTACTTCTCATTTTAGAACTTGGAAGCTTAATTCTACTATACTTATCATGCTAACGCGTGAGACAGTACAGCTTGATGAATGGCCTCCGCCCGCCACGCTAACGCGTGGATTTTACCCTAAACTTAAACTTAAAGCCAACGAAAAAATGTGTGATTTTCATTCGCCGAAAGCTGACAAAAGATTTTATTTTTACCTGACATGTTTGGTATTTTAATTGATTACCAATGCCATGGTTTGTTTTAAACACAAAGAACAGACTCATACTATACGGTATATTTCTTTTGAAATTCGTCGATCCAACGCGAAATAAGTATTAAAGGTGATAGATCATAACCACTAGTGCAGATAAAGAAACGTAATTACTAATTGTGGTATAATTGAGAAGATGTGTCAACATTGACCACGACAACTGCAAAATATACATGTACAGATATCATTATTCCAGCAATGGTTAGAATGAACATCTGCCATGCCATCCAAGTGGCAGGTAGCGGCTATTCCGCAATTAAGCTCGCTTATAATTATTTATAATTTTGAGTTACAATTGCTTAACATTAAAAGCGTATATTTTGTGTATGAGCTTATATATAGGGACACGTACATTTCAGTTCGTCTGTTTGCAGTCATCAGTATGTTTTATGGTTTTTTACTCAAAATGTTTTACCAATAGAAACTATTCTGTGGGTAAGGTGACTTTTGTACTTCAGTACGTGTCGAACTAGAGTCCAGGTAGCGTACTGATCTAGCTCGACAGAGTCAAACTTTAGGGTTTTTCGAACTACAGTACGTGTGCCTGGTCAGGTTGCCCAAACAAACATGCCGCCTTATGCAGCGGAAACAAGGGTATTTTTAGCCTTATAGTTTTGTATTACGGATGATTGTAATATGAGCCTAGAAATCCGTGCAAATATTACATTTTCTTGCATATCCAATTTTTATCCATAATAATAGTTGTTTATTTTGTGGCTTACTTTCAAATTTACTTGAACATCTGTCAGTCTTTGACTAACTGAACATTTAATATTAAATCTGGAGATTATTGTGTGGTTTTTGTGACAAAGTAAAAAGCAATGTAACTCAAATCAGAATTATATTTAGGTTTATCATGGCTTGTCAGTGTTTCTGCTAAATCATGATCAAAGATACTTCCGTTTGGTAACTGCAATGTAGCCCACGCACATGATCGCTCTTTTCACCTATTTTATTTACTATACCAATTTTGAGATTAAAATTAACGTAGATCACACAATTAGGGTAACTAACGAATCGTGAGCGGATGGAAAGGACGACTGGCTGAGCATTGATCACATGTCCCAGCGATGGAGAGATGATTGGAAACGTTAGACGGTCTAGTCACCGGTACGGAAATGAGTCTAGAATCTTGCTTGATTTTAAAAATGCGCATAATCGAACGTAGCATCACTTTTCAAAACACTACCCGACGTTTTTTATGTTTCGCTAAGAATTTTATCACGATGCATGCCTACTTTTCTTCTCTTCCACGATGATTCTCTTTATTTAATCCTTTACCATGTAAGATTCGATTACTAAGAATTAGTGATGTCATAGAATGTTTGGGTACATATTGAATATCATGCTAACGTATTTGAAACTGCCTTTACTTTTCCTCGTATTGGCTTCGTGATCTGTCAGTCTATCGTTCGGTACCATAACTGCTTGACAAAATGGATTCATACTCGTTTTTACGTTAACATACGCATTTTTCCTAATCAAGCCATAGATTTTTATTTCGATAGCTTTTTTACTTAACTTAAAATAAATAGTATCACCGTTACGAATGATGATCATAATTCCTAAATAGTCCGTACCTATTCAACCCAACCCATTTCAAATTTGTCACGTAACAAATCAGTAATACACACATCAGGCCAATCTAATTTCAAGCATTTTAAAATCAAAGGAAAACTTCCGCCCACTCAGAAATTATTTGGCTAATGCGCACGACTAAAGTATCCGGGGGAGTTTTTCAGCGCCCAACAAGTCCAACCTAACAGTCCCTCTCAGGATCTAATGAGAATGAAGTTAGTGTGTCTGATAGTGGTAGTAATATTCCTGACACTACATCAGACTGAAGCCGGTGAACTACAGTACCCGAGATATTGGGGTCCTTATAAGGGTACCAAGCAGTCAGATACCAGACAAGATATACAAGATGAACATTTAGTGGGGAACAGCAGGAGCCGGAGATCAGGAGATGATGATGATGATGATGACAAGACCTCTAACGTGGTGCGAGCGATCACCATGATAATCATATTAATCGTATCCATGATATTCGGGATGTTACCCCTGAAGACCCTCTCCATGAAGTACAGAAGTCGGATAGCTAGTATAGCTAACTGTTTTGGGGGCGGGGTCTTCTTCGGAACCTGCTTTATGCATCTCATCCCGGAAGTGAAGATGCAGATAAACGCGTACGTGGAGTACATGGAGGACAAAGTTACAGCAGGACTTGCTGAGGGAGAACAACCTCCCGGTTATTTGGAATTTCTGGAGAAACTGCCCATTCCAGAGTTCCTGGAGTGTTCGGGCTTCCTCCTCATTCTGTCTATAGAGAAGATTGCGGAGTCTGCTAAGAAGATCCGTCCTTTAACTCAGCGGTTCTCTGTGTTTATATCGACTAAGAAACTCAGTGCAGCGCAGAAACTAGTGAATAAACAGCAGGATCTCGAGGTTAGTGAACGATGATTTGTAATATTTAAAATTTTTAAATGAATTATCTTCACATGTACAAAAGCAAACATCACGAATCGTGTGACCACCCCACAGAGAGGAGATCATTCCTCCAGCCAAGCAGCGAGTTGGGGTTGTGATGAGTGTAGCTATTATAACAAAAACGTTGTAGGTTCAACATATTCGTTGAATTTCACATATCCAAGCGAAAAGCTAACAATTGATAAATATCACATAACAGCCAGCAAATCTCTAAAACATGTTATTGTTAAACACTTAGTTTCAAATTACCATAGTAACCGGTGTGTTACCACAGTAACCAGTGTGATACCAGGCAATACCGGACGGTTGTGAGGGAGATCACGAAAAGGATTTGGACTGTGACGAGTGTAACTCGGATATAACTGATAACGATTCTCACTGTCACGCCAATCAAGGTACGAGCGGTTACGCTTCAGTTAAAATCATTACATCGTCATTAATTAAGAAACGCAGATCTCTTCAAACAAATATTTTAATACAGTCTTAAAAGTA